CGGCGGGAGCCCCCCCCGGGCGCCCGGCCCCGCCGGCGCCTGCTGGACGTGGCGGTGTGCGCTGAACGCGCCTTCGTCGTGTATGCGGCCACCAAGTTCCTGATGGCGCTCGGGCTCTTTGTGCCCGCCATCCTGTTGGTGAACTACGCCAAGGACGCGGGCGTGCCTGACGCTGAAGCCGCCTTCCTGCTCTCCATCGTGGGCTTCGTGGACATCGTGGCGCGGCCGGCGTGCGGCGCCCTCGCGGGCCTGCAGCGCCTGCGCCCGCGCGTCCCCTACCTCTTCAGCCTGGCGCTGCTTGCCAACGGGCTCACGGACCTGAGCAGCGCGCGCGCGCGCTCCTATGGCGCCCTCGTCGCCTTCTGCGTCGCCTTCGGCCTCTCCTACGGCATGGTGGGCGCGCTGCAGTTCGAGGTGCTCATGGCGACGGTGGGTGCGCCCCGCTTCCCCAGCGCGCTGGGCCTGGTGCTGCTCCTGGAGGCCGTGGCTGTGCTCATCGGACCGCCCTCTGCCGGTGCGCCCCGCAGGAGAGGGGTCAGGGGGATGGCCCCCGAAGTCTGAGGGGGAGAACTGCAGGGCTGAGAGGAGGGAATGGGACCCATGGGCAGAGACAGCCTGCTGGGTGGACTCCCCTTCATGGCCACTGAGCCCCTCCTGCAAGCCAGGACCATCAGCTCTGGGTGGGGACAGAAGAGCCAGCCTCCCTGGTGGACCCAACTTTGGTAGCTGCCCCCCTCCCCCAATGGCGAGCAGTTGGCACAGGGAACCTGTGAAGGGCAGGTGTTTATCTTTTTGGCAGGTGGGGAAACTGAGTCCCAGAGGCTTAGCACAGACTGCAGCCCAGAATCAGAGCCACGCCTGCCCGAGCACTGAGCGCCATGCTCCTTTCTCACCTTGAAGGGTGTCTAGGAGAGGACCATGTCTGTGGGGAACAGGCCCTAGGGCCAGGAGCAGAGAGGTGCTCAAAGTGGCTGGCGAGGAGGAGCGGGGCTCGGCCTTCTCTCTGCACCCATAGACCCCCTGGGGGTGGACCTGGAGGACTTCCCAGCAGTGCCCTGCAGAGGAGGGCACCAATGAAGGGGTGCAGGATCTGTCTCGGGGATGGTGTCCCTAAACGAGTGGGCAGGAACTCAGGTTGCAAAGCTGGAAGTGGGGTCTTCCTGAGTTGGGCTGCCCTGAAACAGCAGGAAGCCTGCTGGAGAGGGCTGAGGTCAGGCTGTGGAGCAGGCTGCAGAGGGGGGTCCCTCACTGCTGCTGAGACAGGCTGGCCTCACATGGCCTCACCAGGCTTTGCACCTTACCGGTGAGAGCCACAGAGCCCGCGCCAGTGCAGGCCGCCCAAGCCCACGACGCAAAGCCACTCACCCAGCCTCCTACCCAGAGGCTCACCCTCCATGACTTGTGTTACCTCGGGGTGGGTCTGCAGGACAGAGAAGGCTGGCCAGGTGAGAACGTGAAGGACACCACAGGGCTGACTGGGGAGGGACAGACGGGACTGGTCGGCTAGGCAGACATGCCGGGACAGTGAGTTGGGGGGGATGGGGAGCAGAGATTGCAGAAGAGGGCTCTGGCTCAGGGGACCCCAGGGAAGCCCCCACTGGTGCAGCCAACAAAAAAAACGGGGCAGGGAGAGGGTGGAGCCCACAGAGAGCCACACTGGGGGGTGGGGGGGTGGGAGGTATTTTAGAGGGATATGTGCACGGGCAGAAGCCTTGGGAGTAAGTGTAGACAGGAGGCCGGAGTTCGTGGCCCACAGCTGCTCCTGGCCTAGGAAGGCAGTTTAGTCTGGGCTGCTTGTGGGTCCCAGGGACAGACAGGAGGCGGGGGCAAGAGGCCCGCAAAGCAGGCTCAGCCCAGCCCTCCTCCCCCACCCTTAGGACCCCGACTGGGCAAAACGCACAGCACATGTGGGGTCTAGTATGGGGCTGTATATGTAGGGTGTTGCCTCACCAAAGGCCCCGTGTCACTCCGGGGACAGGTCCAGGAAAGGAAAGTGACTTTTTTTTTTTTTTTAATTGCCAGGGGGTGTGTGTACGCACCAGAGAGGGAGAAAGCACCCCTAATGGGGCACGGTCACACTGCGACCCCTTCTCCTCCACTTCTCCAGCCTATCAGGATTCGGGCATGCATGCTCACACATGCACCTGGCGTGTTTTCCCGGCTTCCAGGACCAGGATTCAAACCATGATCAATCACATGGGATCAAGCTCTTTTAACCACCACCCATGAGGCCAGCCCATAAAATGACATTTTAGGGACCAGCAGTTAGCATAATGGCTATGTCATTGGACTCCCATGTAGTCGACCGCGGGTCGAGTCCCGGACCCGGTGGCTTAAACTCACACCGGGCGCGTGTGCGTGAGTGCCCAAGATCCTGAGAGGAGAATGGAGGAGAAGGGATTGCGGCGTGGCTGTCCCTCCTGGGGGGTGATTTCTCGCTTTTTGTCTCTCTGTCTCTCTCTTTCTGGTGAGCACACGTGCCCTATAGCAAAAACCTCTCAAAA